CACACACACACACACACACACACACACACACACACACTCTCTCACTCTCACTCTCACTCTCACACTCACACTCACAGGTTAAACTCCAATGTAAAACTCAGTAAATAGTCATACTCAGGTGAAACATCACTGCAGGTCACATGACCATGATTGACAGATGTTGCCATAGAAACAGCATCATATAAGTGAAGAGAGACGAGTGACGACGTACCTGCGATTAAGCCACAATCACAGTCTATCACTCATTCAGTCCAGCGCTGATCTCTGATGAACGACTGCTGTAGAAAAGACACACAGTGCACTGGTGTTTTCATCAGCAGAAATCAACTATTCATTTCAATCATCTTATTTGAGCTTGAACTATAGACATCTTGAAATACTGGTTGATGTGTGTTGGATTCTGGTTTATATTAAAGCTCCTTCACAGATTAAATGCTGCAGTACATCCGTCATGTGAGTGTCTGATTGTTTCTGTTAATTATATCCAGAGTCAGACAGAACGAGGTCTGTGCAGATATAAATCCTGTCAAATTAAATCCATTAATCATATGCAAATACTGCTGATGCTCCACATGGTTTGTTCAATGAATGCAAGCCGAAAAAATAAAGGGATTTTCATTCCAACAAACACTCAAACACACAAACAGATGCTTCGAGATCTGCTGACTTACAAAACTCGTCTGATTGATTAACAAATTACAGACTGAATTGAACACTTTTCACAATAATATTTCCAAAGCAGCTTTGCAGAAAATCTTCATGATAATGTTTATTACATCTTGTAGTATATAGTACTGTAATACACTCTATTGCCAAAAGTATTGATGAACGGGTTAGGGTTAGTCCATGAGTAGAAATATTAATGTTAAAGCATATAATGATATTCCAGGGAATTGTGTGCTTCTAATTTTATAGCAACAGTTTGGACAGGAGCCTTTTCTATTCTAACATGACGATGCCTTAGTGTATAAGACAAGGTTCAAAAAGATGAGTGTGGAAGATCTTGACTGGTCTGCTGTGACTTTAAATGCAGACCTTGAGCCAAAAACTCATCACCAAACACCAGTGACTTGTACTTATGGCTACAGTCATTTCAGACACTTCCAAAACTGTTGCAACAGAGATGGAAATACATTTTTTAAATACATAAATTATGTTCCCATCTTTGATGCCACAGTTTTGGAAGTGCCTTTTTCTGTTCTAAAGAAGGGGTGTCCCAATTCTTTTGTCCATATAGTGTATGTACAAGTCATTGGTGTTTGGTGATGAGTGGTGATGGCTTTATCTATGGATATTTCTACTCATGGAAATGACTAAAGTAGTCAAACCTGTTCATCAGAAGGGTGTCCCAATACTTTTGGCAATATAGTGCATGTTCATGTTGGTTCTTTGTGTTTCAGACTCAACGTCACGAAGAGAAGAGATCTCTGAGTCGAGAGATCGTCACTCTGAAAAACCACCTGATGGAGGACAAGATCAGCATCCAGAAGCTGCGAGAGGATAACGTACGTATCATCCACAGGCTAGTGACACCTTCACAGCTTCATCAGAGTGCTCAGATCCCTGCCGGCTCATAGGAACCATCATCCGCCAGAAGCAGGTGTTCTTTGAAGGTTCCTGACAGGTTTCACCTAATATTTATCAGCCTCCGGCGCTGAGATCTCTGTGATGGAGCAAGCGTTTGAGGTTTGAGGGGCAGCCGGTGCTTCAGCATCCACTTGGTTTCTCTCTAGGTTCACTAGTGAGGGTCCACTCAAACTCTTCTGGTTTAGAGATATAAAGGCATGCGGTCCAAGTGACTGATGGACTGGGAAGATCAACACGCTAGTTGAGAATCATGGGTTCAGAACTTTTCTTGACATGATATCAGTTTAACCCACTGATGTCTAACTACACTAACATAATCAGTGCTCCCATCAGCCGCATTCAGCTCAAATGAAATGAGGAAAGACATTCATCTGCTGTGTTTGTCAGTAAATGGCAGATGTGTAATGTTGATAGAGTGAGAGCTGAATATTGAATGATCATTTGCCAAATTAAATCATGTATGGTTTCTGCTTTTCCCGCAGGATCTGTATAGGAAAGACTGTAATCTGGCAGCTCAACTGCTCCAGTGTGGAAAATCTCCTTACAGAGCGCACAAACTGTGCGAGGTACGACTGATGTACGTGTGCACACACACACACACACACACACACATACTTGTATTTGTGGTTTACGGGGACTCTCCATAGGCGTAATGGTTTTTATACTGTACAAACTGTATTTTCTATTGCCCTACACCAACCCTACCCCTAAACCTACCCCTCACAGGAAACTGCTGGCAATTTTTGAATTTCATAAAACACCGTTTTGTATGTTTTTTAAGCCTTTTGTTTTACGGGGACACAGGAAGTGTCCTCATAAACCATGTTTACGTTGTAGTACCCATGTCATTATACACATTTGTGTCCTCATAAACCATATATACCTGTACACACACACACAGACACACGCCACTGGTTTCTTTCTCAGAGGGAAACTCATCCTAAAAATAGCACAACCTTAAAGAAAGTCAGAGGCGCAGCAAATCCTTTCCATTTTAATTCTGCAGTCGCAGGTTTAAAATTTTTAAGTTTTCTTAAGTAAAAAAGTTTCTTTCTGTCTCTTTCTGCCGGAGGCCAGATGGATTTCATTTGAATATAAACTCTCTCTGCTACGTTTGATGATGGCAAAGAGAAATGCGCTGGTCTGTTTACTGTCTGTAGTCTGTTTACAGACACGCTCCATGTGCTGTTAATCACAGAGAGAACAGAGCGCTCTTCCCATAATGCAGCTCTGCTGCGTCCTTCTGATGGACTACAGAGGATGATGAGGTCAGATGAAGGTTTTCTTCATACGATTCACCATATATGCCATTTACATCCATCAGAATAAAGGAAGTTTCATCAGCAAATGCCAGTTTCTTGGGGGAACACAATAGTTTGCGAGCGAATGCAAGTTTCTCTGGGAACGCAACAGTTTTGTGAGAGAAAGCAAAGTTTCTTGGGGGAACACAATACTTTTTCAAGAGATTGCAACGTTTCTTGGGGGAGCGCAATACTCATGTGAGAGAATGCAGAAGTTTTGCGAGTGAATGCAAAGTTCCTTTTGAGAATACACCAGTTTTTTGAGAGAATGCAAAAGATTTGTGAACGCAGTTTCTTGGTGGAACACAATAGTTGAGAGAGAACTATGGAATAGAGATCTCATTTTCCCCCCTCACCACATCCCTTTAGGGGCTCCATAGAAGAAAGATACGAGTATGATTTCTTATTTCCGACACATTTCTTCTCTTGTAGTGTCTTGTCTGTATTAAGAGTGTCTCTGTGTGTTTGTTTTAGCTTCCCGCTGATCTTCAGGAGCGAGTGAGCTCCCACATGCAGCGGCAGGGTCACGGCCGGAGCGCAGCGCTGCATCACTCCTTCTCAGACGCTGTTCCCACCGCCGTCATCGGCCGGGTCCTGGAGAAACTGGAGCCTGGGAGAAGCTGTCCGGTCACACACTCGCCGAGCCCACAAGCCCCAGAATTCGCATCCGGCACGGACAACAAAGTCCAGCAGCACACGGCGTATAAGTCGTCTGACCTGTACTGCAGCGACACGGCGCTGTACTGTCCCTCTGATGAGCGGCGGCGCGACCGCTGGACGAAGAGACGACAGAGTGAGGATCAGAGCGGACGGATCCGAACACACACGTCCACCGGCGGCAACCTGGACGACGAGAGCTTCCCTCTACATGAAGACCCTTTCCGTGGGTTCGTCCTCAGATCTCTTCCCACCTCCAGCTGCAGCACGGCTCCGGACGAGAAGCTTCACGGTTCGTCTTTGTGCACAGACTGGCGCGATGGAGACTATGAGCGCAAGAACTTGTCCTCGTATGGAAAGGAACTTCCAGGTTTTCCCAAGTCAAGCAGCTCCCAGCATGTGGGCTCACAGAACGGCCGATCCGGAGACAGACGCGCCCTCGTCCCTGCGTACCCGACGGATGGCTGGTGGCAGATGAGCATGGAGGACATCAGCAGCTTCTCGCCCTTCGGTTTCTCAGAGCACCACTTCAAGATCAAACCGGGTCCTCTTTACAGCAGCTTCCAGGATGGAGACAAAGTCTTCCACAGCCGCGTGCCGGATCCGCGATTCCCCGCGTCGGCGGGATCGAGTCCTGGGCTGAACCCAAAGACGAGTCTGAATGCACTGAAGGCCGAGAGAGGACTGATGTTTCGCTCAAAGGGTTCGACAAGCAGCTTTTTCATAACTGGAAACGCCGAAGACGAGGAGAGCGCAACTAAAGACGCTTTACAGAGAGATCACGCTGATTAAAGTCCCGGCAGTTCAGCGGAGTCACTAAACCAGGATCTGGACGTCCAGAAATACAAGGATCTTCAAAACCCTGGAGCTCAGAAAATGTTTGCTCAAAAGTTTGGAAACGCTGGACTCAGTCGCAAAGACAGTCTAACTAAAGCTCAGCTTTATGGAACGCTGCTTAACTAACAGTCAGTAAAATGTACTGCAGTAAAATAAAGAACAATATGTGAACATGTTTGCAAACCATTTGGCTGTTGTGTTTGTCTGGCGGGACTTGATGTCATGTTGAGATTCACTGGATAGTGGAACGAGTCTTTTCATGACCAATGGCTGATTTTACACATGGGCCTGTTCCATAAAACAAGTTTACCAAATAAGCCAGGATTATTTCAGTTAGTCTGACTTATTTTGAACCAGTATCTATATTGTTTATATAGGCTACATACAGAGAATGGAACACAGTGGATTACTGTTACAATAATAGCAGCATCAAAGGAAATAAACTGGAAAAGAAAAAGAAAATAACCAAACAAATTATCCAGGGAATAGCTTAAAATTAACTGACAAGAGAAAAGGTTTTAAGTCACCTTATTACTTCTTGCATCTTTTAGAGTCTTAATATATTGCATCAGTTCAGTCTTAAATGGCATGATATCGGTTTGTTTGGTGGTTTATTTTGTGCCCGTTTTGTTTGTGTATATGGCATTTGTCATACATAATTAAACTAATCACCAAAATTGTTCCAAATTTTGATTCTTATACAAAATGTGTATCTTTACCAATTAACCAAGTCTTTAATTTTGTGATTAAGTATTATCCGTTCAGTGGCACAGAAACGACTTCAGCTTTATTGAAGAAAGTAATTGATTAGGGCTCGTGATTCTTCAGATTTCTCAGTTTAATTCATCAAGTTAAATCTGAATAATTATCTCTGTAAACAAAAACAGAAATCAACAGCCATAAAAGTCATCATACAGTTTGTTCTTTTACTAAAGCAGCTCCTATGTTTAAAAATGATTTGATTGTAAATATGTTAATATTTCATCTTTAGGACTAGAGCAGATCATTATTCAGGTGTATTTACGGCAGAGTTTTTCTAGTAGCCAAACTTTGTCAGTGATATTGAAGCTCTTCAAACACTTATGTTTTCAACCTAACATTGTTTTTATCTTTAAGGTACACCAGGAATGTACATACAGTATGTAAATGAGGTTCATTTATACTTTATATTAATATATAGACCAAAAGTGAGTGATGAGCTGAACTCATGTAAATTCTCTGTTCATGTTCCTGATCTCAGTCATGATATGGAAGTTTTTACCTGACGTTATTACAGTTAGGTCAATATATATTTGGACACAGGCACAATTTTTATTATTTTAGCTGTTGGCCAAAACATATTCAAGTTACAGTAATATAATAAAGCTCACACTGAGCTTGAATTTGTGGGTATTCACATCACAATTGGAGGAAAAGTTAAGGAATTTGTTGGGGACTGCCCCACTGAATGCTGGTTAATAATTATTGACCGCTGCAGAACTCTTGTCAGGGAGTCGAGTCATCATATTGAGTTTGACCGTTTATTGCACAAGATTTGACCATATACACATGTTAGTGTATTTGAGGTAGTTTCTGAAATAAATAAAACAACAGATATAAATATTCATTGTTCAAATATAACCAATGACTCAACATCACAAATTCTATAATAAACAACTTTGTAAAGTGCACTGATATATAGAATATAAACTGAGAAATATATCAACAATATCTCTGTGAGAATAACAATCTGCATAGTAAGATTACCAACAATTAAATATAAGTTATATATAGAAATGCGACTATCATTAATACAGATGGTAGTAATAATGGTCGTTGAAAGGTATTATCACCATAAAAATGTTACCCTTAAATGTAATACAATTGTAAACATGAACAATGCACACTGCGATGCTAACGGGCTAAGCCGCTCGTTAAACAGGATCAAATTACACTCAGAAAGATCGCTAAACTTCAATAACATCATAAACACTGTCGAAGTTAACACAATTGTGGTACACTGTAATAATCTAGGTAATTAACAATATACATCGAAGTAACTCACTTTGTCACGCACTTTCTCTTGCACATAAACGCTGCACCTGTGTGAGAGCACGCAGTATGACTGCCGTGCTGAGGTAACTTAGTGAATAGGCAGTTACGCTAAGACCGTACATGCGGTGAACCCTGCACTACGTTATTTACGTAAGTCATTACTGAAACATCACGCAGATCGCAAGTCTTAAACTTAAAGGGAAGAATTCACAACAGCCGCCCCCACATTTGAGCAGCAAATGGGTAATAAAGGGAATTCTCTAAATGTCTTTAGTATTACTTTCTAAAGCAGGCAACTCTATCAGGCGGGCAACTGGTCTGATGTAAGCTTTACCATCAACGACAACTTCAGCAGTCCGCACACATCCATCACTACTGGGCAATGTCTTTCGAACTCTGCCTATGGGCCACTGAGCTCTTGGGAGTTGCGGATCCACAATAAGTACGACAGAGTCAACTTCCAGGTTCTTTGAAGCTTTATGCCACTTCTGCCGGGTCTGGAGCGTAGGCAAGTAGTTTCTAGTGAAGTGTATCCAGAACTGGTCCACCATGCTCTGACATCTCCATTGCCCCATGTCTCCTGGAGCGTATGCCACCTGAGGCAGTGATGCATCCCGCCGCCCCATTAGGAGAATATTAGGAGTAATCGGATCCATGTCAGCGACATCCGTTGAGGCATATCCTAGTGGTTTCGAATTGAGGATCCCTTCCACTTCCACTAGGACTGTGGATAGAACATCTTCTGTGACAGCTTGGGTTCCGACAGCCACCTGGAGAGCATTCTTTATGGAACGGACTTCACGCTCCCATATTCCGCCAAAGTGTGGAGCACTGGGTGGATTAAACTTGAAGCTAATTTGATAGTCTGGAAGCTGGGCTTTGAGTTCTGGCTCCATAATTGAGAAAGCTTCCCGTAATTCTCTGTTAGCTCCCCGGAAGTTGGTGCCACAATCCGAACGGATCTCGTGTGGTTTACCTCTTCTGGCTATGAACCGGCGGAGCGCAAGAAGGAAGGCATCTACATCCATTGAATTGAGGAGCTCAATGTGTACTGCCCTAGTTGTGAGACATTTGAAAATTAGCCCCCAGCATTTCTCATTTCGCCTTCCTATTTTGACCAGGTATGGGCCGAAGCAGTCAACACCAGTTGAGTGGAAAGGTGGACAGAGCAGTCGGAGACGTTCTGGTGGCAAATCTGCCACTGGCGGAACCTTTGGCTGAGCTCTCCATCGCTGACAGGACAGACAGTGAAGTTGATGGTACTTTATGGCCTGATGCCCTCTGAGAATCCAGTACTGTCTACGTATTTCAGCATAGACTCTTTCTGCTCCTGGGTGTAACAGACGCTCATCAAATTCTTTGATAAGGAGCTTCGTTACTGCATGTCTTGGGTCCAGCACAATGGGGTGGATTTGTTCTGGGTCTGAGTTTGCTAGCCTCCTTAATCGGCCTCCAACTCTTATCATGTTTTTCAGTGGATCCCATTCTGGAGCAAGGCTGACTAATCGGCTGTGTGCAGGAACTGATTTCTGTGCCTTGAGGGCAGCAACTTCTTCGGGAAAGCTCTGGAGTTGGCATGCTCTTAGCAGGGCAGCTTCTGCCTCTTTACTAGTCATGGGCTCACTGGATGCAGAATCCGATGTGGCCGCCCCTTGGCAGGCCTGTCGAGTTGCCTCCACTAATTCACACCATGAACTGAACTGGGTAGAATCAGGGATGTTGGAGGCAGTGTCAACTGCTATTAGGCAGTAGCATGGAAGCCCTTTCAATTCGGATGCTCCCTCTGACTGTGTGAGTTCAGGTTTCTTAGGCCAGTGCTCTTGGCTCTGTTTCAAGAATGGAGGTCCTTGACTCCATCGACTAGGCTCAGCCAGACTTTGGAGCGATTTACTTCGTGTTATGTCATCAGCGGGGTTTTCCTGTGTATTCACGTACCTCCAGGATCTGTGGTCTGTTAATTCCTGTATCTCGGAGACTCGGGTTCCGACAAACACCTTATATTGACAGGAGTCTGACTGAATCCACTCTAGCACAGTCAAGGAGTCTGTCCATAGGATTGTCTGACTGATGGAGAGAGTCATCTCATTCCTCACCAGTTTGGCTAGCTGTGCTCCAGCTAAGGCGGCACAAAGCTCCAGACGAGGCATAGACTGCTGCCGTTTTGGAGCAACCCTCGATCTGGCCATTATGAAGGAAACGTGAATGTCACTGTCGGATTGAACTGCGAAATATGCCACTGCCCCATACGCATTTTCAGAGGCGTCGCAGAACACATGGAGGGAAATGTTCTGTTCTGCTGTAGTTGTGAAGGCTGTTAAGTAACAGCGAGGAATGGATACTGCCCTGAAATGTTCAAGCTCGTTCTCCCAACTTATCCAGGCTGCCTTAAGGGTTGGCGGTAGATCTGGGTCATCCCAGTCTCTCCTTTTCGCCCACAACTGTTGGATGATTACCTTAGCCCTGGTGGTAAATGGTAGTACGAACCCCAATGGATCATACTGAGATGCCAGCACCTGGTAGGCTGCTCTCATAGTCAGTGCTGCATGCTCAATGGGCCTGTAATGATAGCCAAGGGTATCAGTTGCACAGTTCCACCGAAGCCCCAATGTGGGCTCCATCGGGTCAACGTGGGTTTGAACTAGCCACTGCTCTGTGGCAGAGGAGCGGGCTTCAGTAGGAAGACGAGAGACCACAGCTGGGTGACTACTAGCCCACTGTCTGAGTTCAAATCCTCCTTCTGCTAACATGCTGCGTAGTAGATCCACTGTTTGTTTGGCTGCAGAAACAGTAGGAAAGCTTGTGAGGCAATTGTCCACATAGAAGCTCTGGTGTACTATTTCTTGTAACCCTGGATATTTGGCTTCAGAATTACGAGTATGATGTTGCAGAGCGAAGATGGCACAGCATGGACTGCTTGTTGTACCAAATGGTAGAACCTGCCATTCATACACATCTGGAGGGTTCTCACTCTGCAGGTCTCTCCAAATGAAATGGAGAAAGGGTCTGTCCTTTGGTAGGAGACGAACCTGAGTGAACATGCCCTTGATATCTGCACTTATAGCCACATGATGCTGTCTGAATCGTAGCAGGACGCCCAACAGTGATGGTCCAAGGGCAGGACCAGGCAGGAGTTGGTTGTTAAGAGATAGACCCTGGTGTTTGAACGAACAGTTGAAAACCAGTCGTGGCTTATTGTTATGGCTCACCAGATGGTGGGGCAGGTACCATGTTTCTTCTGCCTGGGCTGCTTCCCTTTGGTTGAGTTTGGCTACATAACCTGCTTCGATGAGCTTGGCAATCTCTCCTGAGTAGATTGAGGCCTTCTTAGGGTCTTTCTGGAGTCTCCTTTCAGTACTCCTCAGGTTTGCAAGAACAGATTGCATAGACCCCTTGAGCATAAGTGCATCTGGCTTCCACAGAAGAGGGGTGGCGTAACGTTGTACACCCTGTACACTGACTTGCTGCGTTTGGGACTCAAGCAGCTGCATAGCCTCGTTATCTTGTCTGGACCGGACCACCAGCTTCTCATTGCGAAAGGGCAACACGTCCAGTTGCCATAACCGTTCCACATTTCTGTAGAGAAGATCATCTGTGTGGGCAGTGGAGATAAAGAAACATTGTTGCACTGGTGCCTGGTCTGTGGTACACATTACTGCTCCTTGGAGAGCCCACCCAAGAGCTGTATGGACTGCTACTGGACCCCTTTGGTGCCTTGGCGAATAGGCTCTTTGGCAGTGATGAGATGAAATTGGTCTGAACCAATGAGTACCAGCGGACGCACCTTGTGAAATGGCTGTAGTGGAACTCCCCTTAGATGTGCATACCGTCTCCGAAGAGCCTGAACTGGGTATGTCTGTTCTACCAGATCAAGACCAGAAGCTGTAAATGCTCCCAACACCTGATAGCGTTTCTCTGGGTTATTTCTTGGGGAGATTTCAAAGGTGACCTTTGTGCCATTGAGGTGAGTAGTGTCTGGTCGGACGGTACGAAGGGCTAGAGTCTCAGGTTCACCTTTCAGCTGGAGCTGCTGGACGGCTGTGGGCAGGATCATGGTGCGCTGTGCCCCGTCATCTAGTATAGCATAAGTCTCAAATGTCTTCGATTTGTGGTGTAGCAGAACTGGTACCACTTTCAGAAGGACTCTGCCTGAAGCAATGGATGGTAAGAGGTAGATACGGCTCTCAGAGTTAGCTGATGATGTGTCAGTTGCATGACGTTGGGCCACACCATGGAGCACTTGAAGGTGAATACCACCACAGTCACTGCAGGGTTTCTTTAGATTACAGGTCTCAGGTGCATGAGAACGAGCACATTTCCAGCAGCGCTTTTCCTCCGAAATCCACTTGCAAAGTTCAGCAACAGGCTGCTCTCTGATACTGCTGCATCGAGTTATGTATTGTGGTGTAGCAGAACTGGTACCACTTTCAGAAGGACTCTGCCTGAAGCAATGGATGGTAAGGCTCTCAGAGTTAGCTGATGATGTGTCAGTTGCATGACGTTGGGCCACACCATGGAGCACTTGAAGGTGAATACCACCACAGTCACTGCAGGGTTTCTTTAGATTACAGGTCTCAGGTGCATGGGAACGAGCACATTTCCAGCAGCGCTTTTCCTCCGAAATCCACTTGCAAAGTTCAACAACAGGCTGCTCTCTGATACTGCTGCATCGAGTGATGTAGTGATCTTTGCTGCCACAGAATAGGCAGATAACTTTGGGTGATGTTCTCTTCCGAGACACCTTAGGACTGGGAGATACTTTAGAGACTGTGGGTGATGCACCATGATACAAGGTTGTACTTTGGCTGGTCGGTTTAGCTGCATTCTTCTCCTTTAAACTGCTGGGAGCTCTTTCATACTGGTAACGTTGCACTAACCTACTGGAGAGTCTTTGTTGCTGAGCCTTGACTTGGAGCCATCCAGCAAAGTCTTGTAGGTTGTACGGGTTAATACTTGGGGAGTTGAGCTTCCCTTGCAGCTGGAGAAACTCTATGAAGCCATCTCTTACTTGGGCAGCTTACTGAGCAAGCGATCTACGTGTGAACAACAGTTCAACTCCATCCCTCTGGGACCCTCCAACGACAACAGCATACTCACTAAGAGGTGGACGCGGAGAGCGAAACTCTGGAAGCTGCGAGCATCATTTGGTTTGACCTCCGGTGCTGTGAGGATTGCTGCTATTTCGCTCTGAGCCAGCTGGTGTGGTTGACCATATTGCAACTGAAGGGCTTGCATAGCTGCTGAGTATGGATATGGATGATGGCGACAAGACTGGCCAATCATCTGTGCCTCAGGCAATTTGAGGTGCTCCAGCAAAATATGGTACTTGTATTTCTCATCTAGCTCTGCATGAGGTTCAAGAAGGTTGTCCAGTGCTAACTTCAGGTTAGCAAATTCCCTTTCGTTGTCATTCACAAAATCAGGAATCTTTGGCTGGGGGGCAGCATGGTAAGGGCGGTGAGGCACAAAGTATTCTGTAGGATTCAGTGCCTTATTAAATGGCTGTAGAGAGGGGGTATCAAAGGCAGGTGGATTCAGAGTCGTAACTGGAACTCTAGGCTGGGTTTTAGAGACTGATGCAACTGGAGTCATAAGAGTATAATGAGGAGTCACAAAACTTGCTGTAGGCAGAGCAGTAAACTGTTGTTGTGAAGGTGACACTGCCAAGTGGCCATATGCTGCATTAAGGTCCTGGTAGGCTGGCGTAGGTGCCATTAGATGTGGCTGCACTTGGGGCTGAAAGGCTTTTCCAGCATCCTCGTAAAGGGAAAACTGCTTCGTAAAGGGTGATGGCACAGTCTCTGCTCTTGTCGCAGGTTGTTGTTGGTGCGAAACAGAATGTAACGTTCCAGATGAAACTGGTGAATACAAGGGGATTGAACTGACTGGACGTATTGGAACAAATCCAGGGTTGAAGTCCTCAGCCTCCGCAGGAGATTTACTTGCATTCCTTTGTGTGTCACTCACACGTCCCTGGGTAGGTAGCTCAATGTCAGGTGATTGTGATGAAGGTGTAGAATGACTTGAGGGAGGGAGATGTGAAGAAGTTACTGAAGGGGATCTTGCTGGTGATGTTGCGGGCTTTCCACTTTGACCATCCTCCTCATCCTCTTCTTCCCTCAGGAACAACGTGATATGTTCCATCAGCTCTTTACGCCGACGCTGTCGTTTTTCATATTGTTGAAGTTTACTGTGAAGTGCAGCCATATCAGCAGCCTCATCCTTCTCCTTGTCAGAAATAGACTTCAACATTTTCCTCAATGAACTCATGCTCAACAAGTCCGTGGAGCTTGTGTCTGGATGCTCACCCTGGCTGGAGACTGGTCGTGACAGACTAGCTAGGCCCACTGCGGCTGCTGCTCCTTTCTGGTCCGCTTGTACCTCTTCTGTGGGTGGGGAGGAAAGAGCAGGTCGGTGATGGCCATAGTCAAGAAGATACTCCTCCAGATGTCTGGGTGTGCGACGATGCCGTGAGGGTCTGTCTGACGTCTCAGCTGGAGGGAGAGAAGTGGCTTGCTCTTTCGATGACATCACTGCAGTAGTCAATAGTTCCGGCTCGAAGGACCAATGCTGGGGACTGCCCCACTGAATGCTGGTTAATAACTATTGACCTCTGCAGAACAACACAACACACTCATCACAACACAAACACAACACACTCATTACAACACAACACACTCATCACAACAAACACAACAGACTCATCACAACACACTCATCACAACACAACACACTCAACACAACACACTCATCACAACACAAACACAACACACTCATCACAACACAAACACAACACAAACACAACACACTCATTACAACACAACACACTCATCACAACAAACACAACAGACTCATCACAACACACTCATCACAACACAACACACTCAACACAACACAACACACTCAACACAACACAACACACTCACCACAACACAAACACAACACACTCATCACAACACAAACACAACACACTCATCACAACACAAACACAACACAAACAACCCATTTTTTTTTCTCCAATTTTAACATTTTTACTGAATGCTTGGCATTTAGTACATGAAAAAATAATTTTCACTAACACTTTACTTAAAGTCTTTGTGTAAAGCATTATAAAGGTATTCATAATGTACACTGTAATGCATTATATGGTGCATTACAAGGCATGATTAATACATTAAAACTTCTTTTATAACGCATTATATATTAAGGCTTTAAGTAAAGTTTAACCTATTTTTCATGCATATCTTTTTTCTCATAAAAAACAACAGCATCATTATGTAAACAAACTAGCATTCAAAGGGTTAAAATTGGGAAAATGAATTTTTGGTAGTTATAATTTTATGACGACATTTTTGTGCTTTAAGGATCTCTGTGTAACTTTTTGAAATTGATACACTAGGGTTAAAGAGCTTCTGAAGACCAAGTGAAGAAAATGAAAATAACCTTTATTGTATCTTCTGATCACACAACAAAAAGTCGGTATTTTTCTAAAGATACTTAAATCAAGACACATTTACTGGAGAAACAAAATGACAAAAGAAGTCTCACTTTCTGATTAAAATGAAGTGAGTTTTTGACAAAAACAAGAACTATCAAGAACTATCGGTCAATAAATCATAAACTCACTTAATTTTGGTCTATTGTACAGACAACAAGACTTAACATTTTATGTAATCTTCCTTCTCCAGTAAATGTATCTTGATATATGAATGTTTAAAAGACAAAAATACTGAAGAAAAGATTATTTTTTTTTTTTTGCAGCATATGCAACACAAAGACTTTCTGCTTTGATTTAAGACATTTGAAGTAGGGCTGTCAAATACAAATTTGAATTTCGAATATTCATCGAATTCAAAATAAAAATCCACATTCGAATGCAAAAACGTTTAGCATTTTTTTATTTTGTTAGCCTATCCAGCTGAAGCCACTAGATGCGGCGCTGCTGCGTTGTTCATTCAAAATATTGCAGAAAAAGAGAACATCAATGCGGAGAAGATCTTGTTTACGTCAAAACTGAAACCAAGCCGTTCACACAGAACACATATTTTGCTCATTTTCCAGAGGGACATCTATCACCGTTGCACTCGCGTCTCACACAAGAGCCGCATGTTTAGAAAACCATGTAAAATTAATGCAAGTTCGACTTTTAAAAAACATATCTCGAGACTTCATGGTGTTTTTTCCCATCGCACTGCATCTCATGTTTTTAAACGATAAAGTGCTCTTTGTGATTGGTTTTCGTTCCTTTGTATTAAACTATGCACACATGATGCTGTTTTGTTTATAATTGTTAAAGCAACTTAATTAATTATATTTGGTTTATAAACATTATGCACTTTTTCACAGATAGTCATGTTATTTTATTGCTTTAATAAACATGCATTAGTAACATTTTGCTCGATGCGACCAAAGCCAAAAGCTTTTTTCACCCTAACTGAAATGATACCTTTTAAATTAGAATTTAGTTTTTTTTTTTGACAGCCCTAATTTGAAGGTCTTATTTTGAGGAAGGGTGACTCTAGGAGCGTTTTAAGGCGGCTCGAGCAGCATGTGTCTTACGTGGAAGATCTGGTTGGAGAGTTTGGCGGTCGTCTCAAAGTCCCAGGCGATGAGCGTCCGGTCGGAGGAGTCTCGACTGACGGCGTCGGTGCTGCTGACGAACTCTCTCCCGCCGCTCAGGAACAAGACAGCCAGCGTCTGCTGAACCGCCGCCTTATAGACCCGCAGCATCTGGAGACACACGCACAGAACCGCTGAGACACTGAGTGCAGAGGATCATGGGAAGGCTCGGAATCAGACTGACCTTACAGCAGCGAGCGTCCCAGGCTCTGACCTCTGGACTGAAGCCTCCGCACACAAAGACGTCGGGATCAGAGGGTCGCGGAGCGACGCAGCACACCTTAAATCCGTTCTCCATCTGTGTGATCGTCTTACCTGAGGAACATCAGTCAATCAATCAATCAATCAGTCAGTGTCATGAGTTTATCACAGCGTCTGTGAGCTGCTGCAGAAATATGTCCCTGCAGCACAAAAGCAGTCATAAGCAGCACAGGTATATTTGTAATTGTAGCAATAGCCAACAATACATCGTATGGCTCAAAATTATACATTTCTCTTTTATGCCAAAAATCATTAGGATATTAAGTAAAGATCATGTTCCATGAAGATATTTTGTAAATTTCCTACCGTAAATATATCAGAACTTAATTTTTGATTAGTAATATGCATTGCTAAGAACTTCATTTGAACAACTTTAAAGATGATTTTCTCAATATTTAGATTTTTTTGCACCCTCAGATTCCAGATTTTCAAATAGTTGTATCTCGACCAAATATTGTCCTATCCTAAATTTTCAATCAAATGAGATTTCAATCTCATTATTGGTTTCTCTCTGAACGGTGAGAATGTGTCTCGTCAACTACAGGCTGATGTTTGGGGAGCGATGAGAATCATCCTCCTGCATAATTATAATACGCTTCCCCAGTGTTTTTAATTAAGAAATGTAATTAGCACAGCGCTGACGGCCGATAAGAAACATGTCTCATGAGCAGATAAAGTCAGTGCACAGGAAACACACATCAGCTCATTTCTATAATGAATCAACAGAAGATGATCTGATTCAGTTCCTCGTGTAAGGTTCTTTTGCACTGAATCACATACAGATCAGAGTCTTCAGCTGAACCCGATCCACTCTCAGGACATTTCTCGGCTCATTTGTGGAAGAGTGAAGGTGAACTGACCCGTCTCCACATCAGTGATCGCTGCGCTGCCATCAAACGAGCCTGAGAGGAGGCGTCGCCCGCAGGCCAGCCAACAGGCATCGCGCACGGAGCCACGGTGGGCGGAGTAAGTCTGTAAGCACCGCCCACTGCCAACACCATCCCACACCTGAAACACAGAGACTCAGATGACATTATTACTGCCGCATTACTTTCTACTAAAGCTGCTCTGATTAAACTCACGCCACACTCTGTCATAAATTACGCGACAGGTTTCACATTAAAACACTCCTGTTGTGTTGCAGGTCAATTTGACGCACATTAAAGCACTGGTTAAAATATTTATTTTTGGTTGAAATTTGGTGACTTTTTTTCATATTTGACCCTGGAGCACAAAGCCAGTCATAAGGGTCAATTTTGTGAAATTGAGATTTATGCATCATCCATTTTGAGCCATACAATGTATTGTTGGCTATTGCTACAAATATACCCCAGCGACTTAAGCCTGCTTTTGTGCTCCAGGCTCACATAGTTTATTTACATCAATTGTTTAGTCTCTTGCAATAGAGGTTTTCTGTTTTCACATGACTCTTTAGTGTATTTTGTAATGGTGATCTTAGTGAACCGCATGGAATCCAGTGGGTGTAACCTGCATTATCAACATTTAAACTGATGACAGTCTGAAGATTGAGCCCTGTGTTTGGAGCACAGCTGAATGACTTCATGCAGGACTGACGACACTGAGTGATGCGGCGTGTCTCCTGATGAGGGAACACTAGATGAGGAGCGGTGGAGTCAGGAATAGACCATTCGGCCCGCGGCTGATGAAGCTGCGCTCCTCTGACCCTCCACAGAGATGCTTCCTGTTCATTTCTATGTGGGGTCATATTGACCCCAAGGGACAGATTTGTAAAAAAAAATGTTTACATACCTTCAGAACAAACAATTTTTTTACGTGACTATAGATATAAAATGTTGAAAAGTCACAAAATCTTATTCCACTGAGATGAAGGGAACCATTTTTTTAAACTAAGTAAATGTTGCTTGGGGTCATATTGACCCCAGGGACCGATTGAGGGTTAAGAGATTTCCCAGCATTTTTTGAGCACTGACCAAAGAGCAACAATATATAAGTGCAAATGACAAGTCTTGGTTAGCCTAACGCAGTACACGTAGCAAGGTGTATTTTTATATACAGTTAAATTAAGTATACTATTAAGTATTGCAAGTATTACATACAACAATAATAAAACAGTGCATTGACATAAAAAAGGAAATGTACTTTTGGTACTCAAGTACTTTTAAAAGCAAGTACTTCTGTACTTTTACTTAAGTAAAATTCTGTCTTTACAACTTTTACTTGTAGTGGAGTAATATTTGACCAGCAGTATCTGTACTTTCACTCAAGTAATGGAGTTGAGTACTTTGTCCGCCTCTGTACGTGACGCTTCGGGGCAAGACGAGATGAGCGAGACCCTCGGCATCTGATCAAACCCAGTGCAGGAGTCTTCCTCAGCGCTCAAACACACAGAAGAGTCATGATCATAAAGCAGCAGACGCCGTGTGTTCAGTCCTTCATATGAATCACACAGACGCTCTGTTTCTCATGAATATCTGAGCAGCTGATGATGAAGGGCCAGAGATGCAAACAGGTAAAGGGGGCATGCTCCACACGGAGTTTCTTTTAAAGATATTTGCTTTACATGCTCATTTGTAGTTACTTAGTTATATTTTTTTATTACCTCATATGTCCAAAACTGTAATTTTTCACAAAACAAAACAAAACAAAATTAACATCTTGTTGCAACATTTTACAAAAATCAAGACTGAATATATTTGGTCAAAATCCCATGTTATAAAAGATAAAGTGCTATGCTGCAGGCTATTTAACACAATATCGGCTGATTAGACGACAGTGCTGAGCTACAATACAAAATGTTTGCCCTCTCGCTCTCTCTTCACCGTTCTCACATCTCAGACCTCAAATACACAAAATATCACCCTCTGAAACAGTTTTTGAAGTAAAGAGTAAAGAAAATAGTACTATACAAAACTTATTGAAACAACCAGGGAGCAGTTGCATAAACTTAGCCACCATGTTAAGACCGTGTCTTAAGCACTAGTTTAACCAACTAGCAGCTGCCAAGATCAGTCTTACTCTTCCAATACAAATAAGAACAATCTACCTTTTCACAACTGAATTAAAAGTTATGACCAGACTTGAAGAAAAAAAAAAATTAGATGAGTAATTTTTAAGTGTTTGCCCTCTCGCTCTCTCTTCACCGTTCTCACATCTCAGACCTCAAATACACAAAATATCACCCTCTGAAACAGTTTTTGAAGTAAAGAGTAAAGAAAATAGTACTATACAAAACTTATTGAAACAACCAGGGAGCAGTTGCATAAACTTAGCCACCATGTTAAGACCGTGTCTTAAGCACTAGTTTAACCAACTAGCAGCTGCCAAGATCAGTCTTACTCTTCCAATACAAATAAGAACAATCTACCTTTTCACAACTGAATTAAAAGTTATGACCAGACTTGAAGAAGACCCCCCCCCCATAAAAACACTTTCTCACTGGATCTAATAATCTCACAGGTGACCTGTTTTGATCTGAATAGAGCGAGTTGACACTGAAAGGTGAGGAGTGTGCATCTATGAAGGGCTCATGACAGCGAATGGAGCTCAGCGTGTGCGTCATTCAGCTTTCCTCAGGACACACGCGAGCAGATCTCCTGGGTCTCGACACACATTACAACACGACAGTGATGGAGTGGCTCCACGCCAGAGACCCCAGGAGACGTGTACATGAAGAACACCTTCACCAAACACACGCATGTTCCTGGAGCATCACAGGAGTGTTTGAGTCATTCATTTCAATAAAACATATTCAGTCATTCTGCATAGTAATTTACTCGGCTCATTCATTCTCATCCAGGTCCTTGACAGCAGCACCGTGATGCTCTTTCATCCGTCACTCTGCATAATGATTTATATCCATTAGTGCTGGTTAGGTTAATCATCACTACTAGTTCTCACACTAATTAAACCTCCAGCACTCAGTGTTCAAGTTATCTTTTCAATTCTGGAATGTGCAATACAATTGAAAAAAAACATAGGCATGGTTTAATTGTGCTTTGGTTGCTGATTGGATGTTGAGATGTGGGCGTGGCTCTCAGAGGAGTGTGAGGGGCGGAGTTTAAGAGCACTGAATGACTGGAGAAGACTGACCAATCACTGAAAAGATCCAGTTATCTTAATTAATAAATGAGTTAAAATAAACTTTCAGCTCCAATTTAAGAGCTTTTCAGGCCTTAATTTGTGTAAAGGTGAGTTTTTAAGACCTGAAGAAACCCTGTTATGGGGTTAATCATCACACATGTACAATATTAGTTCACTCATTTCTCTGAGAGATGAGCCACCTGTAGAGGTAACAGCTGGTTAGGTTAGGCTATAGTTAGTTTAGGTTAGTATATACATAATTATCAAAAAAAAAGTTGAAGTTTCGACTCACCGTCACAAAGGGATGCCAAAACTTTCGAAGGGGGCAGGACCACTTTTAGTAAAATGCCTATAACTCCTGAACGGAATAAGATATCTTCGCCAAACTCGGAACACTTATGTATGAGCTCAAGCTGAGGTCACAGGAAAAAAATCGGCCACTTGGCGGCGCTATAAAAATGGCTGTAACTAGGCAACCGTTTGTCCTATCAACATGAAAATGGCTGTGCCCGGTCCTGGTCCAATCTTCCACAAGTGTATATGGGGACATTTGCGTATCTCAAAAAAAAAACATGGCTGCCATTGGCCGATGAAGTTTGAGCACCTATTAAACAAGGTTAACGGAGGCTTAAACTCGGTGGGCCTGTTTGACTCACGGCCCCAAAGGTCTGTGAGAAATTTGAAACAAATCGGCCACTGAGGGGGCAGTATCACATTTTTTAACGGCGTAAACGATTGTACGTTGCGCAGTTTTCCGCACATACACGCGATACTAGTATCATATGATAGACCTCCTCGTTCCGAACAATTGTAGAACCACTGCTGTCAATCAAACCGTTTTTTAAATGATTGAGAAGATGTGAAAAACCTACTTTTGCGAACTAGTCCTAGGTTTTCGCTCTGTCTGGAAAAAAACCACCGCAGTGCAATTCTCTGGACTCTCTAGGTTGATAATTATCAAAAACATGTTGAAATTTACCCTTTGAGAAGCTGTAACAGGGTCCTTTACAAAAGGGGCCTGTCCAAATATGCCCAAAAGCCAACAAAGCAGTGTTAATTTCGTTGACAAATTATTTTCGTCATAATTTTCATCAACGACGAAAACGAGACCATAACTAAATAAAAAACAGTTTTTAATGACAAAAACTAAAACGAAAATATACTTTCATTTTCATCAACGAATAAAAACGATACGAAAATGTTAGGGAAGGACGATTTGGGAAGATATCATCCAGTGAGACTCAGTCAGAACTGATGTCTTATGTGGTAGTTATGTATATTTGTATTGCACCGTCCAGATCTAACCGCGGGAAAACTCGGCGCTGTTGCGCACGCTCTAGTCTACAGGCTCGCGCAGCAGCGCTTCAGACTTCAGCGCGGGTTGTAATCAATAAATAGCGTACATTTATGCCAAGCGATTGCTTATGAACTAATGTTGATGAATTATGACAATGTTTACTATACGATATTTATATGGTAATATGTTTTAGACGGTTGTAAGAATGCATATTTTATTTCCCTCATCTGAACTTGAATGAGCAGCTGCATCTGTACAGTCAACAGTGCAAACATTTCAAAATAAGAGTCACTGTGTAGTTCATGCTTTTTTCCTGGTCATTATTGATATTTTAGGTATATAAACTGTATTTAGTTTAATTTGATATAATTTACATTTAATTAACAACTATTGTAGGTTCTGTCTGGGATTCCCCATCACAGGATGGACAGCCTAAGGACATTATTCAAAATATTATTTAATAAATAAATTTTACTAGTATCAGGTTTTTATAGGTAAAACTAAATACAAATATTCTTCATTAGTTGAAATAAAATAAATGTTAACTGAAATTATAAAACAAATCTATACAAAAGGAAATTAATATCTAAATACAGAAATAAAAAAAAACATATTTTGTTTCATTTAAACTTCAGCTTAACCTGATGTACTAAAATAACCAGAACAGAAAATATAATAATAATAATGCATTACAATTTAACTAAACCCTTTAGATTTTAGTCAACTAAAACTAAAACAATTCAGATATAACTAAATATGACTAAAACTAAATGGCATTTTCGTCAAAAGACTGTGACTAAAACTAAATCAAAATTTGCTGTCAAAATGAATGGAAGAATGCATTCTGTGTTTACTGATATGGCATACAACAGAACATTTAGATTGTTTATAGCTGACACCCTTTGTGTTTCCACTGGTGAGGAGATAAAGATGGCAGACTGTGTGCCGCTCACTCAGGGAAGGATCTAACAGGACAGATTCCATCAGTCGTTACATTATGTCACAGTGTATAGAAAATGCGGCAACTCATTTTGAGACACTGTTCATGATTTACAGGGAATATAAAACATGGATTTTTTTAATGTAATGGGAATCATGTTCTTGAACCCTTGCCAGGTCAAGGTTATCTGGAAGTATAAAAATGAATTAAGGTATAACAGCTTGCAAGTTATCTGGAAAGAGTGGTGTAAGCTCAAAAAAGTGCATCCATCCATCCATCATAAAGCGACTACACACGTCTCCGGGGGGTTACTAAAGGCCTTCTGAAGCGAATCAGGGGGTTTTTGTAAGAAAAATATCCATATTTAAAACTTTATATAGCAGCACATCCAGCTTTAAATATGGATATTTTTCTTACAAAAACCCCCTGATTCGCTTCAGAAGGCCTGTAGTAACCCCCCGGAGACGTGTGTAGTCGCTTTATGATGGATGGATGGATGCACTTTTTTGAGCTTCAAAATCTCATCCACCATTCACTGCCATTATAAAACTATTTAAGACATTTTTAACGGAGTTCAGCCAAATACAATTTTAAGAGTTTTTAGCGAAAATAGATTGTAAAAGCTTGATATAATTTAACCAATAAATAAATAAATTCTTGCCATGAAAACAGCCACAGAAGCTGGCATTATAAAGCTTGGAAGAGCTAGGATCAATTTTATTATTCGTCTGAAAGAAGAAAGTCATATACACCTAGGATGGCTTGAGGGTGAGTAAATCATGGGCTAATTTTCATTTTTGGGTGAACTATCCCTGTAAAGTTAGATTTTTTTTTTCTTTGATATATTGCATATTCACATGTTCATACAACAAAATGTTCTGGGGGCCGTGAAAATTTTGTGAAAATGATCAGAAATGCTGGTGCCTGCTGGCAACATTAAAAAAACAAAACACTGGTGGAGAAAGAGTGTAAGTATAGTTAAAGGCATATTTCCAGACGAAGGCAGAGAGCCAAAATATTTGCACTGTTTTTATCTCCTGCTTGAAATTAATAAAACTGTTTTTAGAGTGCAGAGCTTTTTCCATTTTGAGTATAAACATTAATACCTAAATAGGAGCATAGAAGTATACTTAAAGTGCAAAAATAATATATAAACAGTATGAAGTTAAGTTCGTTTAAAGAAAACTTACAAGCATACTTGCAGTATAAAACTACTAAACTAGTAGTTTACTGAGAGTACACTAAACTTTCATGAACTAAAATATGTGCTACAATTATTTAACTAGTAAACTATAAGCATACCTATAAGTTCACTTGTAGTATAGTTGCAGTACAAAAAAAATAAATAATAATTGTGTACTCAGTTACTACTATTAAACATGAAGTCTACTTAATAGTATACTTTTATACACTTAAAAGTGAGCCAATTTAGCCCCAAGTAGTACTGAAATAGTACACTTAAGGCCCCGATATACTTCAAACGAAGTCCGTTTTCGTTCTTCGTTTGGGGGCAAAAATAAGTTCTAGAGGCTGAGCGACGGTATACTGTTTCCGAACTTTCCAACATCCCCTAAACACAACAACGATGAAATGATGAAGTGTAGGCAATCTAGTGTGAGACGGGCACCAATGGTCAGAATATTAAAGACAAAAGAATAATGATTAGCAGCAGTTCAGAGTCAAGTATCATGTTTGCAATACAAAAGAACCATTCTATTTCCATAATCAGTCCTTTATAAAGAAAAAAATATTGGAGTCAGTTTGTTACTTTATTTTATTAGTGTTCATTTATTTGATTAAACTGGATAAATTGTACACCTTTTTATATGTTATGTGGTGTCGTGATTTACTTTTGATAAAAACAAAGGTTTATTATTGTATATTCGTTTGGCATTTCATTTATTGTATACCCTTTAAATACGCTTATTGAAAGAACAACAGCAGCAGCAGTATGGTGTAACATCTATTTGAAACACATGTATTTGGTACATGCTACCTTATATCTTTACTCTTTCCTTTCAATCTTTTCATGGCTTTGGAAAACTTGGATGTTTCTCTGTGTCGCTTTTTGCATAACTCCTTAGACTTAAAGTCTCTCCGCGAGCGATCGTACAGGTGCGGATATATTTGTGCAGCTCAGCTATTCGACACTCCAGTGTATTCAGATGTTGTTCTATGGTCGGACCTCCGTAGAATGAGAAACGAACCGGGGGGGAAAAAAAAAAATCGCACGTCAAAGAAGGTTGAGTTCCAGAACACACCCACCGATTGCGTAACCGCCACGGACCAATGGAAACTCAAAGGTGTTTAGGAGCCAAAACGAACTCCCCCAGAAAGTTAGCTTTGGTCAGCTGTTTCGAACTGCCGAAACGAACTCAAAACGAACTTCTTTTCGGCCTGATTTTGTTCGAAATGACGTCATATCAGTTCGTTCTTCGATTGCGTTTGAAGTATATCGGGGCATTTACAACTATATAAAAACAGTACACTATTATTACATTGATATTAGTATACTTCAAAAAATATACTTGAACTGTACTTAAGTGTGCTTAATAACAATTAACATGAAGTACACTATTTTTTTGTAAGGGAAGGGAGACTGCAGCACAGCTAACACTGCAGGTCCAAGTGCTAACAGCATCACTAATGTCCAATCTGTCTGTGTTTAATGTCAGGTCAAAGGAGTAGATTGGCCAATGATGCTTAAGATGGATAACCTTCCCCTGGGAACTATCCCACACAGACAATATCAACTTCCCGCTGAAGCTCAGATTCTGGAGATCCCTTATGAGAATCATGATCTGAGCATGCTCATTATACTCCCAAACAAGAGCGATGACCTACCAAAGGTAAAACAGTCAGTCACGTGAACAGCAACTGAACCTCCCTTACTGCTTTTACTTCACTTGGAACTACATTATTAGGATAAAGTCTACATAAAAATTTGGATTGTTGTGTAGGTTTGGTATTACATGAAATGGGAAACAATTAAAAATCTCTCTCTGCCTGTCTGTTATTTTTCTCTCCTTCCTCTAAGCTGGTCGACTCGATCACTTATGCAAAGATTATGGAGTGGACTGAGCCGGACAATATGATTGCCACAGATGTAGAAGTTGTAATGCCCATGTTTACACTGAAGGAGAAATACGACCTGGAGAAAGCCCTGAAGGCTCTGGGAATAATTGACCTCTTTAGTGACAAGTGTGACTTATCTGGCATGGCGCCTGGAAAGCTGAAGCTGTCCAAAGTGGTGCATAAGTCTGTTGTTGAGGTGGACAAGGAAGGCACAGATGCACAAGCAGGCGGTGGTGGAGTTGTCCAGACAGATGGTAAAGAAATCTCAGAGCTTTTCACTGTACAATCCCCCTTTCTTTTCTTCATCCGCCACAACCCCACCAAGAGCATCGTCTTCTGGGGCCGCGTCATCTCCCCAGAACCTGTAATCTAGAATTTGAACCGCAAAGCAGAGCAGGTTCTACAACAGTGTGATCTGTCATATTAAAAACAGCACACAGTGATTATATTGCATGTATCTCCATTTAAAATTGACTTACTTGGAATGTAAGTTTTAAACAAAACTCTGAATACTCCAAATGTTCAAGCACTTAAACTGAAAAACTATAAATAAAGGAAAATCGGGCAGAAACTTGTGTTCTTTTTTTCTTAAAAATAACTTATTGTATAAAGTGTCAGTGAACGGGTGGAAATTAACTTTGAAATGAACTAATATTTGAATGATTTGAACTGAATCATGAGGATAACGTGAGGATGAGTAAATGATGACTGGATGAACTAAATTTAATTATGCTCAGTTCAAAGTATAAATTCAGTTTATAGCGTGAAGAGGGAGAAATAAATGATTAATTATTAGGGAGAGTTAGTAGGTTTAGAGTTGACAAAATCCAACAAATCCAACCTGGTTTAGATCAGGTTCAGTGGGCTCATAAAGCTCAATATAAACCTTCTGCTGCGTCTCATTTTGGAGGCTGCTTCCTCCGAAGGTCACATTCAAAGGCTGCATATGTCATCGAGGTGGTCTCATTTAAAAAAAGCAAATGTTAGACTGCAAAGTAAATAAGAAAATATAGCTGCAAGCAGCAATTATCAGGGTTCAAGTGCGTTAAGGTTCTTAATTAAAAGGCAAATCAAGTTTTCATACATCATTGACAGATATTTGTTTTATTTTGTTTTAAGCATGAACTCAATTAATTCTGTTCAATTTCTCTGAATACAAGACTTCATATCTTCATTTTGCATCTCCAGGAAATGTATCGTGATTAAAGGATGTTTGGATATTTGTACTGGAAAACAAGACAGAAATACTGAGGAAGATATTAATTTTTTTCAGTGCATGCAACATTTAATGCCACAACTTTATGAATGTGTGATTTTCAGCTCCAATTTAAGAGCTTTTCAGGCCTTAATTTGTGTAAAGGCGAATAAAGACTTTTAAAGACCTGCACAAACCCTGTTATGAGGTTAATCATCACACAATATTTGTTCACTAATTTCTCTGAGAGATGAGCCACCTATAGAGGTAACAGCTGGTTAGGTCGGGTCAGGTTAGGCTATAGGTTAGTTTAGGTTAGTCTGTAGAGGTAACAGCTGGTTAGGTTAGGTCAGGTTAGGCTATAGGTTAGTTTAGGTTAGTCTGTAGAGGTAACAGCTGGTTAGGTTAGGTCAGGTTAGGCTATAGGTTAGTCTCACCTTGAAGGTTCTGTCCATGGATGCAGACAGCAGCAGATGGCTGAGATGATCCACTGGACTCCACTGCAGCGTGTTCACTGGACCCTGATGGGCCTCGACGCGGCTCTGCATGCGTCTGGGCAGCTCGACCCGACCCTGCCTTCGGCCCAGAAACGGCCGGACTCTCTCGGACACCTCAGACAGCAGCGGGAACCCGGCAGATGCAGACGGGTCCGGCTCTTCAGTGTGAGCCGCTGCGGTCTCTGCCAGTCTCTGTCTCTTAGGAACATACGGCTTCAGCGCAGACGCCTGCAGCTGGACTCTCTTCACGGAGCCGGACTGTGCTGCTGACACACGTGATGATGAAGATGAGGAGGAGGAGGAGCTGACGAAGAGGGCTTCGTCATGATGAAGCTGAGGATCCTGATCCTGATCCGTCTCACTGCCAGAATCCTCATAATCCACCAGTGAAGCCATGTGAAGCTCACAAACACACACTACAAGCTGGATTTCATCAGAACACAAATAACAACATATTACAAAAACAACACTTTTAAAATGAATAATAAAAAGTAAATAATCATCTAATTAAGAAGCCGTCAAACTCAGAGTTCAGCTATTATTAAACAGAGAGAATACTACACATATCTGTTTGATGTATATATATATATATGTATATATATGAAGAGTTTATTTGCAAAAACAGATAACTCGTTTTTTTTTTTAAATGTTCAAAAATCTAATTTGAAACATTGGACAGCGAACACCGGAAGCGCGAATCTGTGAGGAACTTCCGCACAAAATAAAGGTCTCGTTTAAAATCCGTGTCCGTGAGGAACTTTTAGACAAACACACTACAAGCTGGATTTCATCAGAACACAAATAACAACATATTACAAAAACAACACTTTTAAAATGAATAATAAAAAGTAAATAATCATCTAATTAAGAAGCCGTCAAACTCAGAGTTCAGCTATTATTAAACAGAGAGAATACTACACATATCTGTTTGATGTATATATATATATATATGTATATGAAGAGTTTATTTGCAAAAACATAACTCGTTTTTTTTTTAAATGTTCAAAAATCATGTTTTTATTGTGTTTTGTTGTTAGTTAGCCGTATTTTTAGTTATTTATTTTACCTAATCAAAATAACTGTGACTGTTCTTGAATGGCCCAGCCAGAGCCCTGACTTAAACCCAATTGAGCATCTCTGGAGAGACCTAAAAATGGCTGTCCACCAACGTTTACCATCCAACCTGACAGAACTGGAGAGGATCTGCGAGGAGGAATGGCAGAGGATCCCCAAATCCAGGTGTGAAAAACTTGTTGCATCTTTCCCAAAAAGACTCATGGCTGTATTAGATCAAAAGGGTGCTTCTACTAAATACTGAGCAAAGGGTCTGAATACTTAGGACCATGTGATATTTCAGTTTTTCTTTTTTAATAAATCTGCAAAAATGTCAACGATTCTGTGTTTTTCTGTCAATATGGGGTGCTGTGTGTACATTAATGAGGAAAAAAAATTAACTTAAATGATTTTAGCAAATGGCTGCAATATAACAAAGAGTGAAAAATTTAAGGGGGTCTGAATACTTTCCGTACCCACTGTATACACACACACGATTCTATTAAATATGTGAAGCTATTTCTACAGTCACTAAAACCCCAACTGTATCTGAAGATTATTATCATTTATATTACCATAATTAAAAATAAAGCATCACAAGAAACGAGATGATCCATAAACTCACATTAAACGACGAATAACTGACATAACATCATCCGTCCTGTCAAAGATCTTAGTAAATATTGATCCGTCACGTCCATATCATAACATAAGCCTTCACATATCAGTTTAAAATCGTTTTTATGACTATTTGCTCTTGTTTACACGATTAATGTTCGCGTCTGTCGCGCGGTGTTTAATTTGAAACATTGGACAGCGAACACCGGAAGCGCGAATCTGTGAGGAACTTCCGCACAAAATAAAGGTCTCGTTTAAAATCCGTGTCCGTGAGGAACTTTTAGACAAACTAAAAGTCTCCATTGGATATTTCATGTTTATAAAACACACACACACACACATACTATATTAAACAGCCTGTCTGTATTAAATGCAGTACTGAGCAGATAAATCACAGCTGTCACTTGACTCTTGTCTGGATGTTACGGGGACAGATGAGACACACCCCTTCTTATGCAGAGTGACTGATGAAGGAATACTGCCATCAAAGGCTTCCCATTTGTTTTATTGTGCAATATTTTATATTTCAAGCATGTTGATTGAGCACCGAAAGTAATTAAAAATTGATCAAAGAATCCTGAAAAAAGTATCACAGGTTCCAAAAAAATATTAAGCAGCACAACAGTTTCCAGCTCTGATAATAAATCAGCATATTATTATGATTTCTGAAGATCATGTGACACTGAAGACTGGAGTAATGATGCTGAAAATACAGCTGCGCATCACAGAAATACATTACAGTTTAATGTATATTAATATAGAAGAACATTGTTTTACATCGTAATAATATTCCACAATATTCCATTTTTGATCAAATGAACACAGCCTTGATGAACAAAATACAGTTTTTTAAAAAACATTTAAAATCTTACTGATCCCAAACTTTTGAGCGGTAGTGTATATTGTATTATTGAAAAAGCAGTATTATATAGCAAGTATATATGTTATATAAATGGGGGGGGGAAGTAAATAACAATGAAAGTTTTACGCAATAAAACTAGTTTGAAACCACTTTTTTCAAACAAAATTATCTTATATAAATACGTTAATAAATATGTAGTCCACTGACGAAATGATAGCGAAACAAGACTCTATAAACAATTTCCAAATGCGAGGTAAATGTGAAAATAAGAATTATATTCCAGTGACATTTTAGATCAGGCGTCACACCAAAAAAGGCCACCGGGTGGCACCAATGCTCCACTGTTATTGTTTAATGCATACTCTGTCACAAATTAGCCAATTAAAGTTTCCATATCACTATCAGAAAATATGGAAACATAGATTTTATGATCATTTAAAACACATACGTAATCTGTATTAATCAAATCTGTTCCTTTTTTTGTGTTTGGGAGAGATTTTAACTGTTTTTATGTTTTGATATTCCCTACAGATTATACACATTACCTGGAAATCATGTCAGCGAATTTGTATTAGATAGGATAGATTTGCACCTCCAGTTTCACTTCAAGGTGGTGTACACTGGAATGCCATCGCCAACCAAAAAATCACATGCCTTCTGCTGGAACATGCTGTGATTCCATGAGGAGTGAAATGGCAAACCTTGCCCAGCACAATGCAGACTATCAGCTATCATTACATGAGCACCATAGCAGGAAAACGGCTACTTCAAGCGCTCCAGATCACTAATAAGGTGCATATAGGTCTCAAAGATGCTTTAATCCACCTGTGATGCCCACCATCCACTACAACAATGGGCTCAGACTGGACAAAGGATACAAAAAAAATTTTTTTTCAAAAAGAGACAATGCAATGGCTTTGGTTCACAGTTCAATAATAATATACCTGCCCACTTGATAGCAAAAGGGAACTTGCAGAGCTCTCAAGCCAGAAAGAAAACAATGTTACTGACTGCACATAGTACAGTTAACATTAAATAATGAGTTAGTGACTTTTCTAGTAGTGACTGTTGTACTATTTTATGTACTGTGCTATATGAGTTAAAGTTATACAATTACAATTGTAATTTCTGTGATCATAATCTGATTAAATGTTTTTGGCCAGGCAGCACGTTGATATGGTTGATATCGCATCATGTTCGTCTCTCTC